TCAGTCCTGAATATTCTTTGGAAGGACTGATGCTGAAGCTGAAACTCCAATACTTTGGCCACCTCATGCGAAGAGTTGACTCATTGGAAAAGACCCTGATGCTGGGAGGGATTGAGGGCAGGAGGAGAAGGGGATGACAGAGGATGAGATGGCTGGATGGCATCACCAACTCGATGGACATGAGTTTGAGTAAACTCCGGGAGTTGGTGATGGACAGGGAGGCCTGGGGTGCTGCGGTTCATGGGGTCACAAAGAGTTAGACATGACTGAGCGACTGAACTGAACTGACTGAATTATGGACGGTGTTCCCAACATTCTGGGCAGGACTTGCTGCTGTTTAGTTGCTCAGTTGTGCCCAACTCTTTGCGACCCCGGGGACTATAGCCTGCCAGGCTGAATAAAATGAGTAGCTGCTCTGAAGAGGTGAGAGTCAGAACACTGTTTGATGTGAGAGGCCATGGGCAGCCTCTAAAAACAGTGCTCCCCCGAGAAGAATGATGTGGTCACAGGGCTGGTCAGGACTCTCCTCTGTTGGCAGCTGGCCCAGCGTAAGGCTGGAGACAACACAGCCAGAGAGAAACAGCTGCAGCCAACCGGATGGGAGCCGGCTCTCCACTCTAAGACCCGCCTGCACACTCCCATGAACTCCTCCAGAGTCCTCTGCAGGAAGTCCAGTGGCCTCACGTGCTTTGGGGCCTGGCGATCGAACCTGCCTTGCATGGCCAAGGGCAGAGATCCTGCCTCGGAGCTGGACAGGCAGCCCTCCCGTGACCTTGGTTCCCACACACACACCATCTTGTGACTGATGCCAGGCATGGATGGGCACCCCTCCTGACAGGTGGGAGCTATAAACTCAACCCCAGGAGGGTGGGGATGCTGACTACCATGAGCTCGGGGTGCTGGTAAAGAGAAACGTGGGTGCAGTGTCTGCACGTGCACCACTAGACCCCAGCCTAAACCCACCATGTCCACCTGCCATTAGGAGTGACAGCTGGGAGACGCTCCTCATAGGTCTTTTCTTGCTCCCAAGGAAGCAGGCGGGAGGACCAGGATCTCCCTAACCATCCACACAGCCAGTATCTCGAGATAGACACCCGTCTTCCTTCAGCTGAGGGTCCCACAGGACATGGCGGAGTTCCAGGCCCACAGTAAACACTCCATGCATGAAACACTAAGGGCCTGAATCCCATGGCTCCAGGCACAATCGGTTGATGGCCCTCTGAAACGGAAGACCTTGAGTACTCAAGTATCTTCATAGCTTCCTAAGGGACATATTTTCTTCTTAGGGATGGAGGAAATTTCTCCCATTTTTGAGCCATTTTTTTATAACAATTCTACAAAACTGCATGTAACTTTACATATTTAAAAGACACAGTTTTGTAAATATTTATATATTTACATATATTACAAATATTCCACTTGTTTGATTTTGAATTGTAGATGTCAAGTATTCTGGGGTTTTTTTTTGGGGGGGGGGTTATGTTTTATTATACTTTGTTAAAAAAGGAAAAATTGTATATATTTGGAATGCTTGTATAAGTAAATCTAATGTACTGAAAATAAAAATTGAAAAAAGGAAAAGAAGCTCACAGTGTCTCACGACTAAGAGATCAGCCAAGGAGAGTGGCGGCATGCAACAGGAGTGGAAGAGAAAAGGTGAGGTGGGAGGGGGAGGGGTGGGGGAGAAAGAAGGAAAAGGAGAGGGGAGGGGGGTGGGAGGGGATCAGAACACGAAGCACTCTGGTCATGGGCAGCAAAGTCTTCCCAAAGCCTCTTGGACGTGAGGTTTGACTTAAAAGGCAAAATTTAAATCAATCTGAAACTTCCTGGTTTTGAACAATCTGTACGTTAGAAAAAATGTATATACAATTCTTCCTGTTTGTCAGACACCTTGAAGTTTCCGTTTTGAGCAACATGCCTCTCTCAGAGGCAACATGGTCCAGGAGGATGGGTGTGGGGCCGGGGGAGCCGGTATGACCTTGGGTCCCACTCCTTACTAATCCAGTGGCCTCGGGCAAACCATTTGTTCTCCCCAAGCCTCATTTTCTCCATTTAAAAGCCAGGGATGAGAATCCCTACGCCTCGGAGGATCTCTGGGTGATACACACTGGAGTCTCCTGGGCACCAGTAAAGGCAGCTATTATTGTCATTAGCATCATCATTCCTCTTCTAAATCTGCACGGCCCAGAACAGACAGTTAGGGAATTTAGGGTACTTTTTAACAGGCTCAATTAGTGTGATTTTCATGCCAAACTGTATAGGCAAACTGATTTTTTTGTGTGTGCCCCCAAAACCTAACGCCTCCTATATCTATTCCAAGTGAAAATTAACAACTGAAGTCATTTTCTTAATTGCAAAAGCAAACAGATCCTCAGCCAGGAGGCAAAACGGCAGAGCCCCGGCCTGGCATTCGTGTCTGGGAGTTAGCCCAGCCTGTTGGGGAAAAGTCCACAGGAAAGGGCATCTGGAGAACTGGGGGCACTGAACCGACCGCAGGGCTGATGAGCCCAGGGAAACTGCTTCCTTTTCGAGAAACAACACCACAGGCCTCTGTCTTTTGTCTACCATCATCTGTGCTTCCCTTGTGGCTCAGAGGGTAAAGAATCAGCCTACCATGCAGGAAACCTGGGTTCGATTCCCTGGGTCTGGAAGATTCCCAGGAGAAGGAAATGGCAATCCACTCCAGTATTCTTGCCTGGAGAATTCCATGGACAGAGGAACCATGGTGGACTACAGTCCACGGGGTCGCAAAGAGTTGGACACGACTGAGCAACTAACACTTTCAACGGAGGGAGGGTGAGTTTCAGGTAACAAGGGAAGACGGCAATCCCTCCCCCCATCAGGACTTGGTGTTCAACACTCTGCAACTGCAGATCTATGTGGAGAAAGGCTATTTTAACCAAGCAGAAGAGAAACAAGGAAGCCCACCTCTTCCTTGTCAAACTAGAATGTTTTGGAAGCAAAAAGTAAGTAAGTATCTAAGTAAATAAAGTCTCTCAGTCGTGTCTGACTCTTTGAGACCCCATGGACTGTAGCCTACCAGGTTCCTCTGTCCATGGGATTTTCCAGGCAAGAATACTGGAGTGGGTTGCCATTTCCTTCTCCAGGGGATCTTCCCAACCCAGGGATCGAACCCAGGTCTCCAGCATTGCAGGCAGACGCTTTACCATCTGAGCCGCCAGGGAAGCCCTTTGGAAGCAAATGTCCCCCCAATCAGCAATTTTGAAGTTGATCTTTAAAAAGTAACACTTCGTAAAGCCCTGTTCTGATTTTAAGTCCTTGCAAACTATTTATAGACATGGGCTTCAATCCTCTCAATGGAAACAGTGACAGATTTTGTTTTCTTATGCTCTAAAATCACTGTGGATGGTGACTGCAGCCATGAAATTAGAAGATGTTTGCTTCTTGGAAGAAAAGCTATGACAAACCTAGACAAGCATATTAAAAAGCAGAGATGTCACTCTGCAGACAAAGGTCTATCTAGTCAAAGCTATGGTTTTTCCAGAAGTCATGTACGGATGTACGTGTTGGACCATAAAGAAGGTTGAGCACCGAAAAACTGATGCTTTCAAACTGTGGTACTGGAGAAGACTCTTGAGAGTTACTTGGACTGCAAGATCAAATTAGTCAGTGCTAAAGGAAATCTATTCATTGGAAGGACTGATGCTGAAGCTGAAGCTCCAATACTTTGGCCACCTGATACTAAGGGCTGACTCCTTAGAAAAGATCCTGATGCTGGGAAAGATTGAGGGCAAGAGAAGAGGGTGACAGAGGATGAGATGCTTGGATGGCATCACCGACTCGATGGACATGAGTTTGAGCAAATTCCAAGAGATGGTGAAGGACAGGGAAGCCTGGCGTGCTACAGTCCATGGGGTCACAAAGAGTCAGACACAACTGAGTGACTGAACAACAACAGATCCTCTCAAAGTCCTGTAAGATGTCCTATTTCTACTCCCATTTCACAGATGAAGAAACTGAGGCACAGTGGGGACTAATAAACAACCTGCCCAAAGACCCAAACACAATTAGGTAAATAAAGATCACTCACGTTCTTGTAAACTGGATCCAGTTAATGATCCCAACTCCTCTCCAAGCCCTCGAGATGGAAACCAGACCCCCCACCACCACCCTTTTCCTGAATATCACTCGGACCCCAACACAGCTTTCTCCTTTGAAATCCTTTTCACCCAGGTCTCCTAGCCCTCCCACCCAGATTCCTGCAGCAGTCTCCAGCTGAGTCTCTCCTTCCTGGGATTTCTAGCCCCTCTGATCTTTCCTGTATCCTGGACAAGACGAACCCAGATAAAATGCCACTGTCCTGAGCTCATTCTGCCGGAATGTTCCCCAAGTGCAGATTCCAATTATGTTGCTTTCAGTAGTGTGTGATTTGGGCAAAGTACCTGACCTCCCAGGGCAGCTCTTTGCTCATTTACAATGTAAGGTTAATTGCGCCTGCCCCTGCGTGTCGGGTGAGAATGAATGAGATGTTATACAGAACACACAGGACGCTGCCGGCCATGAGGAAACACTCGATAATCTGTTACGTCTTCCCTCCTTTCCTCCTTCGCCTTCATCCCCTCTTCCCTCCTCCTCTCCACTGTCTAATAGATGCCGGCCCGCAGAGCCAATCACTCCCCTTAAATGCTGTCTTTCAATATCCCACGTCACCTTCCTGTCCACCCTGCTACCACCCTACTCCCACTCAAGTCAGGTCAGTAAGTTCTCCCAAGCTCTGGACCCTTTTCTGTGACTCTCTGGTCAGGATTTCTTTTGCCTTTTCTGAAGTCTGCTGACCATACAGTCCTCGGCTCTGCCTGCTGTTGCACCAAACTGTTTCTTGATTATTTCCTATCGGTTCCATTCCTTTCAGGGAAAGCCATGCCAGACTCCGCAGAACACATGATTAACAACAGTGCCTGGGACAGATTCTTCCCGCCCCCCACTGACAGCATCCACCGCACACAGCCAGGCTACGGAACCATTCCAGGAAAACTCACGTTGAGGAGCCAATGATCACTGTGCTCAGTTCTAGGAAGCTCCTTATCACGAGGAGTTCCTTGAAATACAGGGGAACCAGTCTCACCCCCGGAAATGGTTATCAGCAAGTCCAGTCTCATTGCCCCCAGTTTTCTCCCCAGGCCGTCGGTCCCGGGGCTCCTGTCTCCTCCCATCCAAAAGGACAAGGGCTGGGTGATCTGGTTTGTTTGGGACTGTGATGATTTTAAAGTTGGAAATCCCTCATCAGCCCCCTCATTAAGTCTCAGGTGTGCTAGGGTGGCTGGTCCCCATATTGACCACTTAGATAACAGCTTTTTTTTTTTTGAGAGGGTAAAAAAAAAGCATTATTAACAACTTCCGAGTAACCTAGAAGAAGGAAAAGGAGGAGACAGGGATGACAGAGGATGAGATGGTTGGATGGTATCACTGACTCAATGGATATGACTTTGAGCAGGCCCTGGGAGTTGGTGATGGATGGGAAAGCCTGGTGTGCTGGCCCATGGGGTCATAAAGAGTCGGATACCACTGAACTGAGTAACCTAGAAGTGGGGCTTTGCTCCTCCCAAACCAGAAAAACATCAGCACAGGTGAACGTAACCCATTGATCAGATTAGGTAGCTGATCCTTGAAAGCCGAGGAGCCAGGACTATAGGTCCCCGGAAGGAAGAACACATGAACAGAGGCTGAGGGGCAGGGAAAGGAGCTGGGATTTAAGACAACCCTGGCAAGCGCCTCAGCAGCTCAGGGTCAGCTATTACAGAAACGGCCTTCCTCCTCCCGGCCGTCAGACCACCTTCGGGAAAGAGAAAAGTTCAAAATCAGTAGTGCAGTGCAGGTAACAAATGTTCCCCAGAACTGCCCATCTCTGAATGTGATCAGTGCAGAAACACTAACCAGAAAAAGATATATGCACCCCCATGTTCATAACCAAGATATGGAGACAACCAAGCGCCCATTGGCGGATGAATGGATAAAGAAAATGTGGTGTGTACATATTGTGCTCAGTTGTGTCCAACTCTTTGCAACCCCATGGACTCTAGCCCACCAGTCTCCTTGTTCATGGGGTTTTCCAGGCAAGAATACTGGAGTGGGTTGCCATTTCCTTCTCTAGGCATAAGTACCTAAAGATAGATAGATAGATATATACACACACCTGAAGATATATGTATCTGGAGAAGGGAATGGCAACCCACTCCAGTATTCTTGCCTGGAAAATCCCATGGACAGAGGAGCCTGGTGGGCTACATACAATCCATGGGGTCACAAGAGTCGGAAATGACTGAGCAACTGAACCACTATATATATATATATATACACACAATTGAATATTATTAATCTATAAAAAAGATTGAAATCTTGCCATTAGAGACAAAGGAGAGACCTTGAGGACATTTGAGGACACAAGAGGACAAACACCATAAGATCTCATTCCTACGTGGGATCTAAAAAAGAAAAACTTCATAGATACAGAGAACAGATTGGTGGTTGCCACAAATGGGGAGGAAGGGAGGTGAAAATGGGTGAAGGAGGTTGAAAGGTGCAAACTCCCATGTATTAAATAAGTCATGGGAATGTAATGAACAGCATAGCAATTATGGTTAATGATACTGTATCGATATTTGAAAGTTGTTAAAAGAGTAGATCTTGAAAGTTCTCACCACAAGAAAGAAAAAAAATGTTGCAACTCTGTGTGATGATTTATGTTAACTACACTTACTGGGGTGATCACTTCAAAACATACACAAATATCATATCATGATGTTGTACACCTGAAGCTATATAATGTATGTCCATTATATCTCAATTTTTAAAAATTTAATAAATAAAGCTAAAAAGTAATTAAATCAACAGATAATTGGAAAAACTGCCCTCCATCACGGACACCCTGGATACCGAGTTAAACCACAGCCCCTGGAAGAGTCGTCCGTTCAGCATTTCAGTCAAAATCTTCCAGACACGCAGGTTTAGCCTCTGAAGTTCCAAGTAATTGAGGATAAGCAGACTGAAATGCAATCAGAGCACACCCACATGAGGATGCTAAGACTCACGTTTCCACCGCGTGACATATTACTATGTGTCAACCTCCTATTTCCCTCTAATGGCGCTTGGTTCAGAAAATGGAGGGGACCTTCCCTGGCAGTCCAGTGGTTAAGACTCAGTGCTTCAGCTTCAGGGGGCGTGGGTTCGACCCCTGGCTGAGAGAGGAAGACCCTGCATGCCACTCGATGGGGCCAAAAAATAATTTAAAAATTATTTAAAAAAAAAAAGTGCCAGCAGGTCTTGGACCTAGTGAAGTACTTTTAAAAAAAGAAGAAGAAGAAAACTGAGGGGAGTCTGAGAGACTGGACACCAGCAAAAGGTGCTGTCTCTTCCTCTTGTGGATGAAAACCCTGAATTATTTTCAATATTCTTGCTTGAGGGCTTATTCCTTTTCTTTTTTTTCCTTACAAGATGACGTACCTTATTTGAATATTGTCAGTAAAGAGTTGAGATTTTTTTAAAACTGCAGTGCAGATATACGTATATTTGCATAGTGGTTTCTTAAGATTAACAATCATAACCACCAGGTGCAGAAAGAGAGGGAAGCGGGTGGAGTATCACCGAGATCTAAGAAATAAAATAATGGAAACCATTTTAAACAGGCAGCACAGTTTAGGGGGCAAACCCACCCCAGAATAGCCCATCTCTGGGTTTGACAGACGCTCCAGGCTAAAGGACACCACACAGAGGGGCCAGACACCATCACCCGCTCATCCTTAAATCCTTAACCTGAGCTCAGCAAAGGCCACGATTTCACTTTGATCCTCCGTATGACCCTTTGGGTCAAAAAGAACAGCAAAAACTTGTGTCCCAAGCAGGAAAGTTTTCCAGGTACCCGCCAAGTCAGCAGCTGGAAGACACCCTGGCAAACCTGAGTGTCCACCTCCCCTGGGGAATTTGGGGCTGAAGTGTTTGTCACTCAGTCATGTCTGACTCTTTGTGACCCCTTGGTCTGTCCAGGGGATTCTGCAGGCAAGATACCAGAGTGGGTTGGTATTTCCTTCTCCAGGGGATCTTCCCCACCCAGGGATCAAACCCAGGTCTCTTGCACTACAGGCAGATTCTTTACCTTCTGAGTTACCAAGGAAGCCCCTGGGGCTGAAAAGATCAGTGTAATTAGTAAGTGGCAGCTTGGAATTCAGCTCCCATCTCTCATTGTAAAAAAGAAGACATATAAGTAGAGGCATCTTCTCAAAATAATTCATCCAAGACCCTAAGAGATTCGCAGATTCCCAATCTGTCTTTTAGCAATGTCATTACAAACAAAATAGCTATGATGATGTTGATGGTGATGATGGTGGTGTGATAAGACAGTGGTGATGGTGACTGCGATGATGACAGCAGCTAACAGAGAGCCTTTATTCTTTGCAAGTCCTAGTTCTAAACTCTCTACTGATATTAACTCAATACATACTGATAACAACTCTATTAGATGCATACACTATTTCTATCTCCATTTGATGGTGTGAAAACTGAGATACAGAGAGGTTAGCGTAACCTGTCCAAGGTCACACTGCAGGCCTTGAACCCAAGAGTCATCTACAGTCCATCCTCTTCATCCCATTCTGGCTCATGTCCAAATGGAGAGGCTCTAGCTCCCTGTGTCGGCAAGATCCCCTGGAGAAGGAAATGAAAACCCACTCCAGTATTCCTGCCTGGAGAATCCCATGGACAGAGGAGACTGGTGGGCTACAGTCCATGGGGTCGTAAAGAGTCGGACACAGCTGAGCAACTAACACTTTCACTTTCTTTCCAGCTCCAGCAGGGCCCCTCCTCAGTATGAATACCTAGGGCCCTGGCTGGGTTATCTGCCTGTTTATCTTACCCCACGGCCTTTCAGTTAGGTGATTTGCAGGAACCCATTAGAAAATACACAGCAGAGGGCTTCCCTGGTGGTTCTTGGCACCTGCCTGCCAATGCAGGAATTCGATCCCTGGTCCGGGAAGATTCCCCATGCTTTAGGGCAACTGAGCCCATGTACCACAACTACTGAGCCCGAGCTTAGAGCCCAGGAGGGGACCCCAACTACTGAGCTCGGGGGCCACAATCACTGAAGCCTTCACACCCTAGAGCCCGTGCTCCACACCAAGAGAAGTCACCACAATGAGAAGCCCAGGGATCACAACCGGAAAAAAGCCCGCATGACAACAAAGACCCAGCACAGCCAAAGATTAAATAAACACATAAGATCTTAAAAACACACAGCAGAAGCAAGTGGAAAGTGCAAAGGGCAAACAGTGCTGGGACACTGGACAGTCCTAGGGGGACAACTTGGGTGGCCAGGTGGGCTGGGGTGTTGGAGAAACCTCTGGCTGTGTGCTACATATACTGTTCCCTCTCCAGGAAACTTCTGCAAGAAGTCAACATGACATTGGGTTTGACACTGCATGCTCCAGCCCCACACGTGGAGCACAAACCATCTTTCTGCCCGATGAACAACAGAGGTCTCCCTCTTTGGACACACACAGCCATGCAGGGCTGGCATCGACCTGCAAAAATTGAGGAGTCAAGTCCTGCAAAGCTGTGCTGCAAAGCCCTTCTTCCAGCAGGGCAGGCAGAACCAAGGTGTTCCTTGAAAGACCCTTGTCGAATCAACTCTAATCCAGCTAATCACGGTTCCTGTAGCATGTTTCATGTCAGGTGGCCAAAAGAGTTTGGGTCTGGGATTTTTAAGGCAAATAAAACCAAATGCCTATTCTTGGTCATAAATAGCTTTCAGTAAACACACCAGTCCATCCTAAAGGAGATCAGTCCTGAGTGTTCATTGGAAGGACTGATCCTGAAGCTGAAACTCCAATACTTTGGCCACCTGATGCATAGAACTGACTCATGGGAAAAGACCCTGATGCTGGGAAAGATTGAAGGTGGGAGAAGGGGACGACAGAGGATGAGATGGTTGGATGGCATCACCGACTCAATGGACATGAGTTTGGGTGGACTCTGGGAGTTGGCGATGGATAGGGAGGCCTAGTGTGCAGTCTATAGGGTCACAAATATTCAGACAGCAGAGAGACTGAACTGAACTGAAACACACCAAAAAGTGTTGAATACAAAGCATGACCACTGCCTATTATAGAGAAAGGATTTTTAGACTTGCCTTTCTCATGTCAGAGTCCAAGAAGGCACTCATTAA